TTTACTGTATCCTCCCAGCAGCAAAGAAATAGTTAACAGTTTGAACAAAAAAACAATCAATAAGAACACATCTAGTCAGTGATATGTGGCTGTGAGACTCCTCCCAATTCCTGTTTCTTGATGCAGCCGGAGTGTGATGTCAACCATGTAAACTGGAAACGAACAATCTTCAATTAACCGTAGTCAGCCATTAATCCACCAGCCTATCCACCAACAAGGATGTCATGAAGAGAGCGAAGACAGTTTCACACTAGAAAGAGAGGAAATTCGTGAAAGTATGGTGTGACTGGCAGATTGCCAACATACAAATGCTTAGCACTAAACAGAACTGACGACTACAACTCGTAGTGTTATACACATATTTATTGTAACAAAAAGAACAGTTTCATCAAAGACTTGTGGATTACAATGCAGTTCGGGACTTTACAAGCATTCTCCATGCGAATGCTTGCTAATCACTAACAGGCCACCCTGACTCTAAATTGATAGTAATTTACCTCCCTGCTTGATGGGCATTTTCGTAGAAAAACTGCACAAACGCTATTGGAACTATATGCACGGCCGCCAATTCGGGACTTCCACGTGTTCGCGGCCATTTTAACTCCCGAACCTCCCGAGACCTCCATACCTTCGGGAGAGACACGCCAAAACTACCGAACGACAAGGCATTCGGGGAAAATATGTTCCTTTTGAATTATGTTATTTAGTTATCTAAGGGGAGAAAATACAGAATGTATATTGTCTTGATTGGTTATACTGTTAATTATGTGGGTGTCTCCCTTGCATGGGCAGAATCACATAAAAGAGAGTGTCTGTCAATAAATCTTTAGTTCTTCTTGACCCTTCAAAACGTAGCCTCGTCTCGTTCTTGAAAGGGGAATTTCTACAGCATAATCACTCAGCTCTTTTCAGAGCTGCACTTGACTTCCACTCCTGATCCAGCAGAAGGGAATAGGCGACTCCATCACTACACAGCGACTTGCCGGGAAGAAAAGGATGTCCCCAACGGCTGATACCCTCACCATAGCAGGGTAGCCGTTACATTTATATAAGCGCAGATTGCTATGGTACTTTTGAAAAACTTACCAGAGTACGATTATCTTACCTGGGTATCCCTTCATGGATGAACCAAGGGAGGGCAATGTAAAAGGTGTCCGAGAGGACATAGGGTGGGAAAATATTTGCCTCCTGTCTTTAATAAAATTTAGATTATTAGGTCACTGACGCTAGAATAATCTCTAATTTCATATTTGCTGTTTTAACGCCCCGAGAGCTAATGAAAAATAGAAGGTACGGAAAGTAGATTCCTTTGACCAATCCTCGGAGGCTAAAATATCTGAAAGGGAACTCCCTGCGACAAAGGCGGAGGACGCAGCCGCGCACCGAATGGGTGCCTAAGGAGGCCTCAATGCTAACGAGGCCAAGGAGCCACCGGATCCACCGAGCAATCGTGGGGCAGGACATGGGATGGTGGGGATGAACATACGACACAAAAAGAGGTCCCTTTGGGGCCCGAAAGGGAGTGGTATACTGTTGCAAACAGCGGGCAACACACACAGAAGTGGCCTTTCAGGGAAATATGGATAAAAAAAACAGAGGAAGAGGGAACCTTAGTGCGTCAAACAATAGAGAAACGTACTCCCTCCGGAGTAAAAGCAATAGCATGAAGATCAAACGCTTTGATGTCGGAGACCCGCTGAAAGGAGACCAAACAAAGTAGTAGGGCTAGTTTGGCAGAGAGTTGCCGCAATGATAGTTCTGAGTTAGGAGGCCAAGCTTCCAGGAAGGATAAGACCTGTGCAACATCCCAAAAATGGGTATAACAGGGGCTTGAGGTCTGGAGAGGCGGATACCCCATAGGAGCCTGCACATGGATGGGTGTTGTCCAACAGCAACAGTATCAATCGGACAATGAGCCGCTGAAATAGCAGAGCGAAAAACTTTATTGTACGGTAAGACTTGCCACTGTCAAAAAAGAAGACCGGAAATTCAATATCAATATCCCTTTCCAAACACCAGCGAGCCCAGGACGTACCAGGATCCCCTGAAACAGTCCAGGCCACCAGCTGAAGACGTCCCTGGGTGACGAGAGGATGGAAAGCTCCGGATGGGTCTTGGAGGAGATCCGGAACGAGAGGCAGAAGTAGAGAGTAATCCGCGTACATTTCTAAGAGATTGGTATACCAAGGTTGGTCTCTCCAGAGAGGAGTTATTAACAGGACTGTGACTCCCAGAACCTTGAGGCGATGGAGAGTGCGTGGAATCAAGGAAAAGGGTGGAAATGCATAAGCTCCTGTCGACGGCCAAGGTTGTAGGAAAGCATCGACGGCTTGCGACATCAGGTCCGGTAGCCAACTGAAGAAAGCGTCTGTCTGACTGTTCAGTCTGGGCGCAAACAGGTCCAACATGATGGGCCCGCAAAGCCGGTACAGATGGTAGAAGACACTCGGGTCTAGGTGCCAATCGCTGGCGTCCCTCCAGTGGGAAAACGAGTCCGCCACGAGGTTGTCTGACCCGGGTAGATATTCCACTCGAAGGGAGAGATTCCTCCCTAAACAGAACTGGTAGAGTTCCTTTGTAAGGTCCGATAGAGCCTCCAAGATGATTGACATAACGGACAGCGGAAACGTTGTCCATTCTGAGAATTAAAGAGCAGTCGTAAGCGTCCTTTTAGAAACTGCGAATCGCAAAGGCACCCACCATTAGCTCTAGGCAATTGATGTGCATTGAGCGTTCTGACTGGGTGCAGAGACCCCCCGTAGAAAGGCCGGGACAGGTGGCTCCCCAACCTATGAGGCTGGCATCGGACTTGAGGACAAAATCTGGTTGGCACCCGAAAATAGGTTTCCCTTTCCAGGCTTCCATGTTTTGGAGCCACCAATCTAACTCTAGATGGACCTCCTCTGTAAGGAAAACCAGTTGGTCGTAAGACTGGGATCTGCAAAGGCATTGCATCTTGAGGCGTTGCATCACCCTGTAATGTAAGGGGCCGGGAAAAAAAGCCTGAATGGACGCAGACAGGAGCCCTATTATCAGTGCTAAATCGCGAAGGAGTATATGATGGGAGGACAATAGCCTTCGAATGTCCCTCTTCATTGGTTTAATCTTTGATATCGGGAGTTGAAAGATTGACAGAATGAAGTCGATCTGAAATCCTACAAAAAGGATGGACTGCAATGGTATTAGAGAGGATTTTTTGAAATTGATTACAAAACCAAGGTTTTATAGGAGACATTTGGTCACAGCTGTATGTTTCCAAAGAGTATGGGGGTCCTGCATCATGATTAGAATGTCGTCTAAGTAGACGATTAACCTGATAACTTGGGACCGGAGAAGGGCCATAACAGGTTTCATTAACTTGGTGAAGCACCAAGGGGTGGACAAGAGACCAAAAGGGAGGCAAGTGAACTGCCAAAGCTCTTGGAGCCATATGAACTGGAGGAAAGGACGGTGACAGGGTGCTAGCGGCACTGTAAGGTAGGCATCCCTGAGATTAAAACAGGTGAACCAATCTCCCTCCCAAAGCACATCCCGGAGAAGGTGTATGCCCTCCATTTTGAAATGCTGATACACAATGAACTGATTTAAATATCTCAAGTTGATGATGGGGCGAAAGTTGTTTGACTTCTTCTGAACCAGGATAATGTTGCTGACAAATCTGGAAGGGGATGGTGACGGTTCGATTGCACCCTTGTCTCTGAGCTTGCAGAGTGTCTGAATGGAGAACGGTGTTGTCTGGTTGGGACATCCGTAGAGAGGTGGGGAGAGGGTAGAATTCCTGTTTAGGGTCGGTGGTAAAGTCCATGAGAAAACCTGAAACGGTCTGAAGGATCCAAGGATCCTGAGTGAGAAGAGACCCCTGTGGAAAAAAACGAGTTAAACGGCCTGCAATATGTACTAGAGACTAAGGTAGGTGCATTTCCTTGAGCAGAGCGACCCCAAAGAGAAGCATACCCAGGTCCTCTGATCGATCCTCTGTTGGTGAACAGTTGTCTGTGATAGGGACGGGTATATCCTGAGCTCCAAGGTTCAGTTGGTCGAGGCCTGTAGCCTGTGAAGGCAGACCTGCCGGTAGCTCGACGACCGGCTCTGCCAGAAAAACGATTTGAGGGAAACACCCTGCAGAGAGAGGTCTGAGCCTTATTCAACGAGGTGAACACAGAGACGTGCCTAGATATAGCAGCAAGTGAGATTTCTGGCGCTTGTTTCTTATGTGTACAGCATCTAAACCAGAGTCTCTTCTTTCTGGTCGTTGATGCAAGTAAAACGGGGGATGTAGGGAAGCAGTGCTTAACAATTAAAATCCTTGTGTGGAGTCCAATGGAGCCAATATAAAGGAGAAAAAAAATGGACAGGAATACTAATATAGTGTAGTAGGTCTATAACAGCAGAGGCAGAATATAAGGATAAATTTATTGCACTCACACTTTTCTGTAGCTCAAGATCAGCTCCAGATCACAGCATATGGACGTACAATCCCTGTCTGTGGATGTTAGGATGGTTCTGATTACCACTGATATCGTATCACTGTGCCAATAATCCATGTGGTGTATTCCAGATGATGCTCCAGTGGTGTCTATGGGATATAAAAGAACATGAATAGTGTTCTCTGTATTAATAAAACAAATAAAATAAAAAGAGAGATATACTCACAATGGATGAGCAAATAGGGATTGCTCGGTCCTTTACAGCATAGGTGGTTTGTCCCCCACCCGGGAACGTGAGATACAGCTTCTCCAATAAAAGATGTCCAGTGAAGGTCCAGGGATGCAAATGCAGATTAATTTTATTAAACAAATAAAAAATAAGTAACACACTAACGCGTTTCACCTATACAGAATGCTTTTTCAAAGTGTTACAGAGTAGGGGACCTTCACTCTTAAATAGCAAAGAAATTTAAAAAAAAAAGGTCAGATGATGTCACTGATCATGTGACCTGAACATTAATTAACTTTAAAACATAAAATAACACCATCACCATCTGATGATTGATCCTTGTTTTAGGAAGGATTAGCAGGGGTGGAAGTCAGCACCAATGGCTTATTATTGAAGGGTATGTTCTTCCTCATCAGAGTACCCTGTGCAGTACTCGTCCACGAGTACAATGTTGAACCCTCCAAGGGGTCCAGTATGGGATGGTTCATGGAAGGAAGAGACAATCTGGGATTTTTTGGCTGGTGCGTCCAGGGACGCTTGCACGGAGCCCCGTCGTGGTCAGCATCATTATGAGACTCATCTGACTTGGAAATATTCAGCGCAAGATGTGGCTTGGAAACAGATTTAGCCTGTTCATGGTAAACTGCAATAGTTTTAGGCATTGATTCCACTATTGCTGAGAAGAGCCAAGATTTGAGCTCAGCTGGTTGTTCAGACATTAGGCTGGTGTTGATAGAAAAAAATGAACAAGTGAAAAAAAAAAAAATCAGTGATACAACAGGGGGTCACCCTGTGAGGAGGCAGCAGGGGGTCACCCTGTGATAAAAACTGGGGGTCACCCAGGAATAAAAGAGGATCCCCCTTAGATTTAAGTTTGGGGGTCACCCAAGCAGGTAAATGGGGTTACCCAAATTGCAGTAATAGGTGGGGTTTATGTAACACGGTTTATGTAACAAAAAATGTCAATATTGCAAGTATTAGCAAACAAGCAGAAGCTAAAGTACCGCTGCAGCAAAGAAAAACAGGGGTCACCTGTTATAATCAAGGGGGTCATCCTTGTAGCAGAGAGAGAGGTGCTCAGAATAACAACATAAAAAAATAAGTTAAGCTGTAAACCAAACAGAGTAAGAGAAGAGACTTTGGAACTAGGAGAAAAGGAAAAAACAAAATAACCACCCCTCAAAAAAAGAATCTATGGTATAAGACAGGCAGAGTATGTTCCGTCGTCGAAATAAACTGCCACACTAGAACAGAGGCGGACACCACAAGCATCAGTGAAAAGCGCAGGAAAACTGAAAAAACTGAGCCGCTGACAGAGCGCGGCATTTAATGAAGGTAAACAGTTAGGTCGTGGTCGGCAAAAGACCGTTAGGTGTAAAAGTGGTAGGAACAAAACACTCAGTGGGAACAGAGAGATGCAGTTGGAATCCCAAATGAGGAGCAAGATCCTGTGGGCCGACAAAGGTCAGCCCCAGGGGTTAGAAACCAAATAAATTAAATATAATGAAATATAATAAACCCTATGGGGTAAGAAAAATAAATAAGAGACATCAAAATGTAAAAATTGTAATAGAGACAACAAATAGATATATAGGAAAAACCTATGATAAGGCTTGTGTAATCAGAATTGACTCAACTGGGAGGCAATCAGCAAAGAAAGAGGGATTGGGAGTCTCACAGCCACAAATAACTGACTAGATGTGTTCTGATTGGTTGTTTTTTTGTTCAAACTGTTAACTATTTCTTTGCTGCTGGGAGGATACAGTAAAGGAAGTAAAGCAAATATGAAGCCTCCTGTCTTGCCATAAAATCATATTGTATTTTTTCCAAGTGTGTTTAGTCTATTGTGTGATATGGGTCAAATGCAATAACTTTACAGTAGTAAATCCACCAATCCATTTTGCGTCACACACACCTATTTTTGCTGTTTAAGTTATTATTATTGGTATTTATATAGCGCCAGCTTATAACACAGTGCTGTACAATAAAAGGGAAATTTATGTTTGTTTACACAACACCCAATGTTTCATGTACCTAATTTATTTTAATAAGGGGGCAGGGTTTGTACACCATGCTGGAAGCCATGCAGAAGCTGTAGCTCCTGACAAATCTTGTTTCCTAAGTGCTTTAGAGGGTGCTTTAACCAGTTACTTAACTTACCAAAACAGCACCTCTGCAACTTTGGAGTGAGTTCCAGGTCTCACCACTTCTACTGTTTTTGATAGCCATCCTTCTGTGGCCTAGTGTATCCACGGCAGGAGCAGTGGCTGATCTTTTTGACTGGGATGTCCAGTCATGCTAATGGATAGCAAAGACCCCGCACTCCCACACTCTGGGCCAATGGGGGTTATCCCAGTCCTTACCAGGGTCTTACCTGAGGTGGGAGTCTGTAGCACAGATATGTTTGCTCACCCTTGCAGATAGACACAGTCCAAGGTGACCAGGTAAGAAGCCTGGACTGTGAATCTTTGCATGGGGCTGTGCAGGAAAGGTGTTTCAAAGCAGTACCGACAAGGTCACAAACAGCAGGATAGTCGAAGGATAGCCGAAGTCAAAGGATGCCAGAGGTCAGGATAAATGAAGTGTAGCCGAAGTCAGAAGCCGGAGTCAATATGGAATACAAGTTCCGGAGACTAGAAAACAGGAACTGAACACACACACCAGGATCAAATCCCCTGTTTGACACTTGTAGGATGACCACATCTGTCTGTATGACACGGTGAGAACTGTGACAAATATTGCTCCTGGGTGAATTTTTTGACGGCGGCTCATTGGCGGTGGACCAAAAAGGGTCATGCAATTGTCCATAGTTCACGCAACTGCTTGAAATATCGGCAACTAGGAGTTCAAGGCTACTTCCTGGTAAAGGATAGAGAGACCTGTGTAAATTGTATGCTGATTCCCAACACAGCCTGCAGCTATAGTTGGGCGCCATGGGTGAACAAAATCCTTTACACACGTGCAATGACTTTGCCTGATCATTACAGCATAGGCTTGTTACAGCAAGGGTGCATAATTCATTATTGCGCTATGGAATATTGTCCTCTAATGTAATTTGAGTAGTGCATAGATGACCTGTCTGGTAGAGGTGGTATTGTCAATGTCAAAAGGGATTAATTTGATTGTATGGGAGGTCAGAAGGTTTATAGGCTTAATTCCTCTTTGAAGCTGGGACCCCCACAGGGGTCAGATGACAGAAGGGGTAATGTAAATTGAATAGGAATTTGAAAGGGGTTAGATGGGGTGATCAATCAAAGGCTCTGCAAAGTGTGAGGTTCTACACTCAAAAAGCCTTAATGTAAACTAGCTGGCTTCTGCCATATGGCCTGTACCTTTTAATTGATGAGGTAATTTCTTTGATATTTTATGATCATTAGTCTTGTATTCAAGTATCATATCCAAAAGAAACATTAATATGTGCCCACAGAATAATAATGAAGCCTCATTTTTATTATATTATATTTAGAATGGGACAAGCACCATCTTCTAAACAAGCCCAAACATGATTGGTTTAACTTAACCATATGGGAAGGGATGAAGATGTCCGCTATATTGGGTCACAAGAAGTGTGACATATCTATGGAATGGAGAAATTGTAACAAATTCCTAGTTGCAATTATTATTTCTGTGGCAAGTACATAAGAGGAGATGGGACCAAAAGTTTCCATTTGGATTGATGTTGGTCTGGAACACAAGGAGGTGGTCACTTATTGTCTCTATAGATACGCCTTAACTCTACCCCTAGGCCAGGCCTGGTAATCCACAGGGTATGTAATATAACCAATGATACTGAGGGGTCAGAATCTAATTCCAAGTGAGTTACCATCTTTCCTACCAGAGACCCCCTGGGGCAGAGGTTTTACTTTGAAAAGCTGAGCAAGTGATTAAGACTTCTGTCATCTCTTTTGTTTTTATCTGTTGTTGGTGTAAATAATTTGTTTATCATCTATTTTTTGTATGCACTGTGACTATTTTTTTGCTCATAATAAATATTCCTTTATTAAGTTCTTCCTTTGTCTGGTTAAGAATCACATTACCTGAAGAGACTAATTATTGTTTTGCAATTGCTCAGATATTGTGCTAGGTTACATTTGGTGGGTTTTTATTAGTAAGTTACCTGGGGGACCAAGGAACCACATTTATACATTGTCTTTTGGTGGCAGCGTTAAAATAGTAGTAGTTATGTTATTATGCGTAAGTGTGGGTGGTGTTAAGGGGGATTTTATTATTATTTCTGGTATAGTGCAGACAAATAGTGAACTTTAACCCTTTCACCTCCACAACTACGTCACGCACTCTCTTGAAGTAGGATGCGTTCGTGACACGGTTGAGTGGGTTGCATTCACAGGATCACCGGTTGCTACACTTTTTATGGGCTATCACCTTCTGATCTATTACCACTGTACTTATACCAAATTAAATTAAGGGGTGGTGGGGGAAGTCCTGTTCCCCAATCCACCATCAGCAATAGCTTCATGGCGTCTGTTTGAACACCTCAGCCATGAGGCCTGTTGACAAGTCTGCCACTGCTTCCTCCACTATCTCTGCCACCATCAATCCTATTAGTAGTATTCAGCCTGAGTATGGTGGGATTAGCAGCATGTTTGTTATGTCCAATTCAACAATTTGGAGAAAGTTTTTCCCCCCATCCTTTTTATACTGTAACACTTTGTGCTGCCACTTCCAAAGGCACTGCAGCTCCTTCTGCCACAGCTTTTTCAATAGTTACACCTCTCTGATGTCCCCAAGATAATCAACTAAGGGAGAGTGCAGCAGAGTCTACATTGCATAAGGTTCAAAAGAGCCACTCTTTAGTAAGAACTTAGCACAGAGTACCGAAGTAGTATCAACAATGTCTGGTGGTGGTGAAGAATCCTTTGATAAAAATTCTGTTTCCCACACCACTACAGACATAGCACTCTACCTCTGGCCTTTTCTCAACAGTCAAAATACGTTGACTTTTTGCTTTTCTTATATTGTCTGTGCATGAATTTGTATGTGTGTATGACCTGTTGCTCCATGACTGCTTGATTTTACAGTCTATGTTTTATTTTATAATAATTTTATTGTATTTTCGGTTGCTGTAATAAAGAAGATTTTCTCATATCCACTCCTGTGGACCTAATTTCACTGGGATAACCATTTGCCTGGAATAGGCATCCTAGGGCATTCTATACAGAGTTTGGAATGGCTCTGCAAAGTGTGAGATATATCCCCCATATGTAATTTATACTGTTTTGCAAATGGAGTACGCTATGTATTTAATGTTTGTGTTTTTATAGAAACAGACATTCTGTGTATTTCTCCATTGTTCCTGTCCCTAAGATTATCTTAACATTTTATCACATTATGTGGTATATGCATATTGTGTGTGTACACACATTATGTGTTTTCACTGTAGGTGTTGGGGAAACACCTTTATATATATCACATTGTACACTACTATTTCATCTGAAGCACCTACACACTTAGCATTAGAAGAGGAGACTGTGGAGAAGCCAGGCAGCAGCTCAGTTTTTTCCTTCCACGGCAAGTGTTCACTAACCTCCTTAATCTTTTCCTCCATCTCTCAGTCCATCTGTATGTGCTATAGCAGTGTCAAGGATTTATGTATTTCCCTGTTTTATTCCAATGGAGATACTGATAAAACCTGGATTGTTGGTGGTCCATGAGGACTGGGTTGGAGAACACTGTGCTATAGAATCACCTCTTCTGACAG